TCCCCCAGTGCAACCCCCCAGAGCAGGGTCAGCAGACCCAGGAACACGGCCAGGGCTTTGGGTGTCTCCAGACAAGGAGACTCCACAGCCTCTCCACAGCCTGGGCCATGCTCTGCACCCTCACATCAACAACTTTGGCCTCGTGTTCACATCACCCTCCTGTGCTCCAGCTGCACCCATTGCCCTTGTCCTGGCACTGCCAGCACTGAGCACAGCCTGGCTCCGTCCTCCTGACACTGCCCTTTCCAAATGGAGACCAGCAATGAGGGCACCCCTGGGCTCCTCTGCTCCAAGCTCAAGAGCCCCAGCTCCCTCAGCCGCTCCTCAGCAGGAGATGCTCCACTCCCTCAGCACTTGGTGGCTGATGATCACCAGATCTACTGCAGATCTATTGAGTGTAGGCCTCCACTCTTGTAGACCCTGCGAACCCTTTTGCAACATGGTACCTTGCTGTCACTGACACCTGTTTTCCTGATGCTGGAAATTAAATGCTTCTTCACGTTCCTGGTGCCGTACGGATGGGGAACTCGGCTTTGGGTCAGCTCGGGCGGTGTGGCCAAGGCCATGCCATGATCTGCATCTCAGCCAGAACCACCAACCCAGCGCATCCAGGGCTCCATCACTCCAGCACGTGCTGGGATCCCTGGTCCATCTTTGTACCCTGATGTGTGTCTTTGGTATAGAAACACTCAGCAGCAGTGTCCAGCCATGCCTCTTCTGTTGGTAACACAGCTCTTCCCTGTTTCCTCAGGCATCTACCTCAACCTCTGACGGCATGCTGACGCTCGACCTGATCCAGGAGGAGGACGCCTCTCCAGAGGACCACAGCACCTGTGAGGAGAGTTTCCGGGTGGACCTGGATAAGTCGGTGGCACATCTTACTGCTGGCCGGCGCCGGTCAGACTCGGAGAACGTCAAGTCGTCGGAGAAGGGCCGGACGGGGAGCCTCCCGCGGCGGGAGGTGAGCTCTTGGGACAGATCCGGGCAGCGCAATGACTCCTTTGACAAAGGAACCATGTACACGCCGCAGGTCCCCAAAAAGCTCTCGCACTCAGAGAAGAACAAATGTGCCTCCATGGAGGAAATCCTGTCTCGACGGGACTCTTCCACGCACCGGGCGGTGCTGAGGAGGGGGCTGGAGGCTCAGTTTGCCTCGGCAGAGCCAGAGCAGCTGTCCCGGATACAAGAACTGGTTGCACTGAAACTGGAAAAAACTCAGGAACTGTTGACGGAGGTGAAGGGCTACGGGGAAGGCAAGAGGAAGACCAAGGACTGCAGCACCAGCACCACCACCACCACCTCTTCCTCCTCCTCCTCCTCGTCTTCCAAGGCGGACTCTGAGAGGATCCTGCAGGAGTCGGAGCGGTTGCTGGGGGAGGCCTCCTCCACCTGGAGCCAGGCCAGGCGGGTGCTGCAGGAGATCAGGGAGCTGAGGGACCTGTACCGGCAGTTTGAGCTGCAGCAGTCGGACTCCAAGCCCAGACAGAGCTCACAGTCGCAGTACAGGAAGAGCATGATGTGAAGGCAAGCCATGGGACAGGGAGGGCGGGACAGGGGAGGGCGGCCACTTGGTCTTCTTTTTTTAATTATTATTTACAGTGTTCGAAAGAGTGAAAAGGTGCCTGTTCTTACCCAAATTTGCTTCTCGAAGCTTGAACCCTTCCTCTTCTCCCTCCCAACCCCTGATGAAACAGCCCCGTGTTCCAATAAACACGGTTATGGTTTATACCTCCTGTTTCAAAGAGCGCCCTTTGCACCGCAGGCCCCAGCTTCTGTCGCGCCAGGGTTTTTCAGCGCCACTTCCAAAAATCACCTCTGCATGCCCTGAGCAGCGCACGCAGCGACAGGGACGGATGCTCCCATGCTGTACAAGCCCTGGCTTTGCTGCTCAAATGCCCGAGCCGTGTCCTGCATTGCAGCTCATTGACCAAGAGCCTGTCTTACTTCCATCCTCTTGGAAATAAATGGCAAAAGCAGCGGTGTCTGATCCAGCCTTGGAAGGCCCCATTGTCCTGGAGCCGTCTGGAAGATGCTTGGACCTCGAGGATTACGCGAAGCCTCGGGGGCTCTGTCCTGGCACAGGTTCCCCCTGATGAACTCCTGGGGGCAGCAGCTGTGGGTCCCCTGGCACCGAGGGGCGCAGGGATGCAATTCATGCCCAAATTTGCCCCCATCTGCCCGGGGATGCTCCACAGACCCCACGGAGCTGGCAGCTCCACGTCTTCCTTTTGTGCACACAGAGGATCGAAGCCTTGGCTCTGGCAGCCCGCGGGGGCTGTTGGAGGTGGTTGTGTTCTGGCTTTTCCACTTTCATGTCTTTTTTTAATTGAATTTCCTTTTGTTTGAGCCGAGGGGAAATGGAGACATCAGGAAACCCGGAGCCCTGAGCATTTTTGGAGGGTTTGGGGCCGTCTCATGCGTGCACAGCTTGGTTTCCCAGCTGGGCCTGGAGCGGGGTCGGGGCCGCTCTGTGAAAGCTGAGCCTGACCCAGAGCTCAAATGGCCCCGTCGTGGTGACACCGAGCGCTTTGCGAACCAGGGGGGCTCAGTTTTCACCCCTTTGAGCAAGAAGGATGTTGAAATGTCTCAAGTACACCCATGTGGTACCATCCAACTGTTAACTTGTTTTTTTATTACAAAAAAAGGAAACCTACATTGCAAATAACCCATGAAAATATTAAAACCAACAGAGTTATTTCCTGGTCGCGTTGGTGTTGTCTGTTTCATTTAATGGTTGTGTCTGGTCAGCGTTGCCATCCAGGCTCTGTTGCTGAGGTGCAGCTGCCGAGGAGGCGATTTTTGTTATTTTTTAATTAGTGCAGCTCCCCCTTTCCTGTTCGGGTCACTGTGGAGTTGTTGCTGCTGGCGTTAGCACCCTGAAGGTCCAGTTATTTACAAATAATTGGCCTTGGCAGCCGCCTCTCCCTCGCGCCCAACCCCAACACAGCTCCGTTTTGAGGAGTTTTGAAGAGTTTATATTTTCTCTTTTCTTACCTTTTCTGTCACTTGAAGGACCTGTTTGGAGGCATCAGAGGAAAAAAAAAAGTCATTCCTAAAAGAGATGAAGAAGGAATGCGTGTGAGCCGCGCTGATCAAACCCTGCCCGTCCAGCCCTTTGATCAAGAGAACAAGAAAAGTACGCAGATATTTTCCAGATGCGACATTCAGCACTAAAATTAACCTTGTTTTCCCAATCATAGAATCATAGAAATAAGAAATAATGAGAAATAAGAAAGCTGGTTTAACAACCTGGGATGGATGTGTGCAGTGACTGTCAAAATGTACGAAAACGCCCCAGTCCTGGCTGCAGGGGTCACTGAACGCCCCCAGGTCTCTCCTAAGCAAGAAGGGAACACAAAATTGGCTGATTGCAGGGCCAAAACAGTGCAAGAGGGGTGAGACCCCGAGCACTCACCAAAACAGGGGAGTTTGATACCCAAGGGCATCTTCATTTCACTGCTGCCTGCACCAGATGGGGAAACTGAGGCACAGCTGATGGGACCTGGGGGCTGGACACAGCGCTGGCAGCTTTGGTGTCTGATGTCCAGGGAAAGGGGATGCGTTACACCATCGTGCACGAGCGTTTGTTACGCCACCATACGCGGGTGTTACACCATTGTACGTAGGTGTTACACCCCCGTGCACAGGCGTTACACCCCCTACATGGGCAATACACCACTGTACACAAGCGTTACACCCCCGTGCACAGGGGTTACACCATCGTACATAGATGTTACGTGCCTGTCCACAGGCGTTGCACCCCCGTACACAGACATTACACCCCCAATACACAGACATTACATCCCATACACAGGCATTACACCCCCATACACAGGCATTATACCATCGCACATGGGTGTTACACCCCCCCACACAGGCGTTGCACCGTCGTACACAGGTGTTACACCATTGCACATGGGCATTACAACCCCGTGCACGGGTGTTACAGCCCCGTACAGAGACAATACACCGCCATGCACAGGCGTTACACCATTGTACACAGGCATTACACTCCTGCAGACAGACATTACATCCCCACACACAGATGTTACACCTCTGTACACAGCTGTTACACTCCCTTACACAGATGTTACACCATTGTACCATCATACACAGGCTTTACACCCCTGTGCTCGGGCATTATACCCCCGTGCACAGGCGTTACACCCTGGTCAGAAACATGGGGCCATTTCTGCTCTTTGGACCAACCTGTGCAAACCTTTTTTTGGAAACTGAGGAAATGGTGGCCTGGGAGATGTCCCCACCGCTCGTGTCGTGCCCTGCTCTGCGGTGGTCGGGATAGCGCAAGTACAACGCCTGAGTTAGGACAGAACTGTCCAACACAAGGTCCCAGACCTGATCCAGGCACTGTCTTCTCCCTCCCTTCGCTCCACCTCAGCTTACACTGCTGAAGATTGGCTGTTTCCAAAATCCCTTGGAAACTTCCTTTCAGAACATGTTCACTGTTGGAAAGCATCATTTCTGAGAGGGTCCATGGAAAGAGAGCAGCTTAGGAAGGAAAAACCCATGAGTTCTCAGAGTAGAAAACCTCTATTTTTCACTTGGGAATATTTATTATTTTGGTATTATACACAATCTGAATTTTCCCTTAGAAATCTCTCCAAGTCAAAAACAAAACATTTTGTTTTACCAGCCGCCTCCCTTCAAGCAGCTTGACACTTTTTTCCGCAGGCAATTTTGACGTTGTTTTCATTCAAAACAAAACTAGACATAAAGTGGGGAATTCTTTGCAAGACCAAAATGCTGGGGTCCAGCTGGTTCTGCTTCCCAACCTGCGAAAACTTCACCCTGGGCTCTGTCCCTGCACTGCCAAGCGCTGCATCCCCAGGATGGGAGACTCGGTCCTGCAGCATAAGGAGTGCTGAGCACCACTGGGTGCTCCACAAGAGCATCTGTAAATGCATTTCTGTGTCTGGAGCCTCTGATTCTGGACATGGCACAGATCGAAGGATGGAGTTCTCTCTCCTTCTCCCACATGGGCTATGATTCTGCACTCTTTTTCACAGAATCACAGCACAGTTTGGGCTGGAAGGGACCT